ACAGTTTATCACACGCCCTTGGCGTGTGCCGCGCGGCGCAACTATCGACGCCCGCACACAATAAACACGCACCCACACAGCAAAGACGTTGCGACGCCAACGACGGTTTGATAATGGGCGCACAAAAAGACCAGCGCGTTACGCCGCGGGCGCTAATTTTAAAGTCGGGCCTATTGTTTGCATTGCCATCTTGTGCTCACCATGCCGACCATCTTATTATCCCCGGCCACTTGTATTGTCGCGAATGGAAAAACAAAAGCGTCGCCGGAAAACACAAAGGCTCAAAACGTGTCGAGTGCATGGGGGCGCGCGATGGTGCTCATATTAAATTCCTGCACAGCTCAAAACTCTAAATGAAATACTCCTCTGCTTTCTAACGCGCCAAGGCATAAAATATAAAATATCATTTTCGAAATGCGGCACATTACATTTTACGTTTTAATGCGGAATTTGTCAACGCATGCGGTTAAATAAAACATTTTACTTTGGGGCCTGAGGTGATTACTTTGACTAACAAACGTAGGCGTGCGTCATGCAACCAGGAGCAACGCGTTAAATATTTCCAGGATAATAAGAACTAAAAACGTATATTACATGCATTACGCCGCTGAAATATCTTGGCATAAAGCACGTTTTGTGGTTGCCGCCGGATTATTATACCGCGCCGCTATGCCGCGACGTTAACTCCTGGCGCGCCTTTAAGGTTTTGTCTTAATTGCAACTACGCCGTTAATCGTAATCTTTGCCGCACTCGCTTCCCGATGCGGCGTTCCCCTCATCTCGAACACGGCGCGCGCACACAAACAATACCAGCCGGAGCGTGCTTCCAGCGTGTATATTCAAATAGAAATATCTGTAGGCTGCAAATTATCACACCTTATTACGCGCCGGGAGTAACAAAAGAGCGCCATCTCAGCGTCTACAATCGGGTGCCGCCAGCAAAGGCTTCCGTTTATGGAGCGGCAGGGCGAGTTAACTGAAAGTGGAACAAATGTTGCACGAATGGTCGCTTTGCAATAGAAGAGCTAAACCATTTGTTGGTTAAACCACACATTTTCAAGTACATTACTTTTCAACACATGCTATTATCCTCTGCTTCTATATTTAGAACATAATAAATACTTGCTTTGGATTAAATTGGTTTGAATTGATTGTCAATTCGCAATTGTTCGTCAATCTTCGCATTCGTACGTAGCGCACACCTGCGTTCTCCTTCACTTGACCTGTTTGCGTTAGACAGTCATGTCTACGTGATGCCGCCGCGTGCATTTTTCGGGTTAAGTCTTTTTGTGAATTGTGTGTGACTTGGTGGTGAGAGTTCATTAGTTTCCCTTGATGAAAGAAGTGCGCTAGGTATGTTACACATTCTTCCTCTTCTTGAGTTAAACTTAAATGCAATCGATGATCGCAGTAATTTACGTAATTCTGTTTTATCACATTCTGTTACTAATGATAAGTGTTGACCCGATGTATTTGTAAAGTATTTGTATGTATATTTCTTGATTCATAAGATTTAATATTCGTACATTGTAGGTATACAATTCGTGTACTAATTTACCGCCCCAATAAACGACCACACTATCAGGCCGGGCTATTTGTGAAGGACATAGAAAAGGAAATGGATATAACACTTAGTCGACTAAATAAGCACGCAGCCGGTAACGACGCGCACGCTATTTGCGAACCTTTGCCCGAACCATCGAATTAGGCTGATGCTCACTCATGGGCGCGTACGCTTTCATCAAATTCTATAACAATAACAATAATAATTTCGTCGGATGTGCGCGGGATATTATGGATGTAGACGCATAGTTGAATGGTTCGTGCGTAATAAACTTTAATAATCCGTGAGTGGGGCAAGCACCGGCGGCGTGATCTTTGCTAATCACGTGCCAACCCGGGTTTACCTTACTTTTCTTCCTGTTTGCTCGTTTGGGTATCATATACCTGGATCTACGGGTTATAGAATGTGCTGTTATCAAAGTTTAGTTTAAGTAATTTTTTATTATTATTTTGGTTTATAATCTTGGTAATTTGGATTATGTTGGAGGTGAATTTGAGTATTTCGCATAGTGTTTTGCTAGAATAGCTCCTTGTAACCACACATTCAAGTCTAATCGAGTTATCTAGCATGCCAAGCATTTTGACGATGTTAAATTCCGACTAGCATCTCTCGGCGTTTAATTAAACCGAAAATCCCCGCCGCGTAACACGTCAGCAAACCGAGCGAATTTCGTGTATTGATAGCTCGCTGCCGCCGCCGACGCACCCACTCACGACGCACAACTTCCCAAGTGTCGTATTGTGCGCGCCTTTCCTGCATCCGTGCCGCGACGCTCGCCCTTCTTCTTTGTGCAGGAAGACGGTTATTGCATTAATGCCTTTGGGTTTGGCTCTGGAAGCCGTGTAGCGGTGACGAAATGGAATAAGAGAAAAGTTTTGCCCGCACGCTTACCTATAACGGGCGGTGCACTTTCTGACGCTCTGGCCGCCCCTTCGCCTCGTGCGCGCAATGTTTCCATTCGGCGGGGCAACTTCGAGCAAGACTCGAGACGATGATTCCGTGCATCCGGAGAAACTCTTCTTCGGTTCGTTTCTTCACGCTTGGATAAGTTGTTTTTCAACTTCGCCGTCCGCGAAGGAAAAACGAGCAGAACGCGTGCGCGCCGCGAATGCATATTTCGGTGAAATGTTTACGACTTTCAAATAATTTGTAAATGTATTTTTCGCGTGCGAGGCCGCCGACGATGCGGGATTCAAAATTGTAAGAGTTTGACAGGGAAAAAACATTGAATTAAATTTAAAAATGTCATTGCTTTCAAGAAAGCCAAAGTAATCGAATACTTAGCAGTCTTCATATTCAAGACGAAGTCAATTTTTAAAAAGCACGCAATGGAATATAATATCACACAATTTTTGGCTTAGCGGCAACTTGAAAAGACGCAATTTTCTCCAGTTCAAGAGTTTTGCAATTTTGAGCTATTTCGATTAGTGTTCAATTTCATTTCGGACAAAAAATATATTTAAATTCTAATAAATATTCAGATTTTATGTCGTTTTTTGCGTGTTTCTTCATTTGTCTGTTTTATGATTGAGCAACCAAGAACTTAATACGTGTTTTATGAACGAGCATTTTGCTGCCTTTTGCAAAACAATTTTATCAAGCGTACCCATTGTGCGTTCTTTTTTTATGCGCAAATATTTTTGCTACTGCCACTTTATCTTTCCGTTTTGTTATCGTGCGCTACCTTTTTCACGCCCCTGCTGACTTTAACTTGGAATTTCTGCGTGAACCTGCAAACTTAACAGATGTTACATTGCGCACAGAATAATCACGCACCAGAGGCTTATTTCACTTGACACGACGCCAATGTCACATTGTTTCTTCTTCTATTTTTTTACGCAATGTTACAACCCTCTTTCGCCGTTGATAATACAATGTTTACGACGAAAGGCGGAACATGTAAATGCATAGGCCTTTGGAAAGAAATGCCGCGACGTATCGAGAGCGAATCACAATAAAATATAAGTTTATCTGTAAGACATATACTAGCAACGGGACGACAAACGTGGCGAGAAAAAACGAAGCGACGAACAGCGAAGAAAACGCTTTTACGGCCTCGTAAAAACGCACAGTTTGTTGCTCGATAAATCGGTGAGATAAGCGGCGGCGCGCCACCCCTGTAACGCGCGCGCTCTTGGAGATATTATACGCGACGACTAACGGGGCCGAATGCACCTGAAAATCGCTAAGAAACCCCCCTGATGTCCCGGCGTTGGGAGGCGGCATGTCGGGGCAAACGCGTCGAGACAAGAATCGCGCTACAACGCTGCAAAAAAACAAAATTTAATTAAAATCTTCCTCTTCTCTAAAACCTTCGTGCCGTGAAAATAGCAAAGCCTAACGTTTTTTCTGTCCGCTCCTTTTTTTGCTGCTTGTAAAAACGAGGAGTTTGGACAGTTAATTTTCACATTTTTTTGATCCGGGGTCTTTACAAATCTTGACCCACATGCCAGGCGATGTACAAGCATGTTTAATTTTGAACAAGACCCCGGGGTTACATATACACTTTTAATGTTTTTATATCGTTTAAAAATCGCTTCGTGTTCTCCGACACACTCAATCTGAGGCCGTAGGTTCAGGGTTTTGCTTTGGTTTAACCGAAGGTAAAAATGGTTTCATGTAAAACCTTCGTTTTATGCACTCGCTTCATTGTGGCGTCGTTTGTTGTGGTTTTTATATGTTTCCGCAATATAAGAGTCTTGCGAACAATTTCCGCAGCTTTGTGCGGGCTCTCCTCGGAGCCCATGGTCATTTACATAAACTGCGGACGATACGAGAGCGCGTTTTGTATTACATCAGTAATATTTTGAATCGATATTAAAAGTGTACCAATAATATGAAACGTGTAGTTATTTTCAGATTATATAGAATATTTTAATTTTTTCATTTTAAATTAATTCCTTGTTGCCTTTAAATATTTACTTTGTTTTGTTGTTTTCAAGTTTCTAATAAGAAAGAATTAATTTGAAAGTAATGGGTCCGAATGCATTTCTTTACGCTGTGCTGTCGCTGATATTCTTCGTGGCGCGCCTGTCCGGAGGCATCCACGTCGTCGCTTGTTAGTTGTTCCAATTAAAACTTTTTCTGCGGCCATGGATTCGATGCCGTTGATGTTGATGATGATTGCGCCTTAGGTGAAATACGCCCGTGTATACAAAGTCCCGGAAATTTTTACCCCCCAGCGGTGCGTTGACGTGTAGTTTATCCCCCTGCGCGCGCTTGCGTTTCGAACAGGTGAAGTGAAAGTTGGTGCGGAATTGCAGGAAGCGAAGCGCAAGTTGTTCCGCAATTTTCTTGGACGAGACGTGATCGGCGACACCTTTTAATTAAACGTGGGCATATTGCAGAAGTTTTTTTTCATTCCAACTGCAACTTTAGAATTAATTTATTGCTTATGGGAATATATGTGCTAATGATTATTAATTGTTTGTTGCAGTTATCCCAGAGTCTGTTCGAATTCTCAACTCGAAGGGTGAATCAATGGGGAATGCATCAATGTTGGGTCCTTACGATGAAGGCACCTTTATCGAGCTGACATGTCAGGCACACTCTGGACGACCAACACCGAAAGTATCCTGGTACAATGGGACTACAAATCTTAAAGGTAAGATGTTATATTTTGTCTCACATTATCACTCTTCAAAGGACAGCTTTATTTTTTGCTGTTTCGCTCGACTAACCAACGTCAATTACTCTCTTTGAGACGTGTCGTCCCATCGCTTAGCACCGCCTTTCTCTTTCTTGGTCTTACGATCAGGATAATATATTTCGGGTAGGGCATCCTCGGCGGATGGAGGATGGATAGTAATGTTATCTTCATTCTAATACTATTCCTGTAAATTATATGTGTTTCGGGCGTTCGGATTAGGGGCGGGCGCGAAGCGAATGTTTTCGCTGGCGTTTCGCCGCCACTGTAAGTTACAATAAACGAAATGCGGAATTCATGTGCGTCGTGCGGACGTGATTCACTTGCATAATGACTTTCTTATTCATTCGGTACACTCGTTGCCGGCGCATTAAGGTCCTATCTCCTGCGCCGTATAGATTATCGATGGCGTTCTTCGGGGCCAACTTCAAAGCGATTTTACGCTCGCTCACGTAAGAGATAGCACCGTTTTTTCTTCTCTCCACGGAGATTGCCTACGTAATACGAAAATAATTTGTTTTTGTTCGTTTTCGCACAGAATCCTCTTTTTCTGGTTATTTTACTAAGCCTAGAACTTTTAAAAACTATTTAGAGCCTTTTTATAATTTTTATCTAAAACAATAGTACATTATAATTATTATTATTATGCGAGGCGGTATTTTTAATATTCAAAAGACTTTTTGCATTTTTCCTTTACATTTGGGTCATGCTGGTTTAATTAGTTTGCCCATTGCCGGCGGACAGACGAGCGTTTGCAGCTTTGAAGCTACAGGCTGGCGGGGCTTCCGCATTGTGGGTGAAAACTGCAAAAAAGTTTCACTCTTTTGGATGTGCGCGCACGGAGTCAGAACTAATTACAAAATTAATATAAGACTCGGCGCGCTCGTTTCCTTGCCCTCTTTGCGTCTCCATCTCTACGCTAGCGACGCGGACACGGTGCAAACCGTTAGCAGATTGCGGAGGTGTCGGTTACGCTCCTTGTTCTTTTCGCGCGTTTCAGGCGCCCGGAAGCGGACCATTCTGAGTGCCACGACGACCTCGCCATGTGCATGAACGAGTGAGTGCGTGTCGATGTGTGTGTTGGTGCGAATGTCCAAAGTCGTCGACGCTTTAATGAACGTAAATTTGACACGTCCCTTGTTTTAATCAAGAGTGAAAAATGGTCCAGGTTATCCCGGATTAAGGAGATTGAGTTACCCTCTTATGGAGTGCTAGACTAGCCGGCAGCGCCGACGGCGACGGGGCCGCTCTTCATGCGCGGTTTCACATAATGCCGTTGTCGGAACGAACCATCGGCTCGCTTTCCCAGCCCGGGAAAACGCGTTCGCGCTCGCTCGCCTAAAGAGTTATGACTTGATTAAAATTTTATATGAATGTTTGCGCGCATAAATTTTTCATGCAGAACTTGTCATCAGACCGTCTCTAATTCCATATCGTGCAATGCCAACGCGCCGCGCTGCAATGAATGTTATCATTGGGAAATTTCTGGTTTCGATCTGGTCGTATGCAAATTAGAAAAGTTTACCGCCGATAAAAACACACTTCGCAATCGTCACTTCAAACATTGTGACATTAACAAACAAGCTTCCGCATAAAATTTTACTTTGCTCCAGCCAATGAGTAAACAAAAACATCGTTGCGGATATTTAATTATCAATGTTGGGGCTTTTTACTGGAGTTTTCGACAATTTAATTTGCTATCGGTAAACACACATTTCTTCCGCGTGGACTTTTTCTCGCGTGGCAAAGTTTGCACCACACCATCGTAGAAACTTGATATTCATCCAAGACTTTTCCAAATGCCGCCGCATTACCCGAAATCATTTTGGAAAACACCGCATCAGCTTTTCCTGCATCTCATTGTTACGTTCCGCTCACGCTCTTGCGTCGAGTGGGGCGTTCGACTGCTTCAATAATACGAAAATTTTAATCGAAAATCAATCATTCGCCTCTCGCCCGCCGCATATATTCAAATCCGCTTTTTCATTGACGTAGATATATTTTCCGAAGCGCAGCACGGCCACAATGTCTTCGTTTGCTTATTCACGACGTACAGCGCCCGCGAAACATGAGAATGCGTAATTTTCGCATTTCATGACTTTTCGGATTTCCAACTTTCCGATCGTCCCTCGCGCAAAGGTGATGTGGTATTTCGGTAGAGTTTATGGCGCAAAGGGGAATGTGTGAAATTGCATTTTAATAAGGCGCCGTAAAAGGGCGTTCGACGTTGCGGGCGGACTTCGTGGAGTGCATTTCGTTAGCTTTTCCTAGTTTGACGACCACGCGCGCCGCACGTTGCAAGAGCCTCCCGGAGTTGTGAGTGATTGCGGCGAGTTCGCTCCACTTGTGAACGAGTTTCGAGTACAGCGCGCGCTTCAAATCAGAATTAGAGTCGGCATAAACTGGGTTTTGTGCGATACTCTCGTGCGGAACAACGCAGACGAAGGAGAGCCGAGCGCGTTCTTGTGGCGCGGCGCGACTGTACGAAAGGGTTTGCTTTTCTATTTTCCTCTTTGCGCACATATATATATATATATATATATATATATATATATATACATGCATACATACACACACTGCCGGCGTTCATCAGTGTGTATATGCGAAGGCTTCCCGACGACTTCATCCCACTCGAGGCCGAACTGTTTAAGTGTATAAGCGGGCCGAATGAGATCTGTAGGCGTTGCTTCGGCCATAAATTCACTAAATACGTGCAAGATTAAACCACAAATCGCTGTTGTCTTACGGCTAATTCATTTATATCGATCTGTCGGAAGCCGGAAGGGCAGTTTCAGTTTGCACTCGCCTTTTCGTTGCGGTCTGGGGCCTGGATGTTGGTTGGAGCGCTGCGGGTTAGCCCGACGCCTTTGCAAATCACATATACACTCGTATATATAGTCCGTTCCATTAGAGTTTGCCAATAATTTCCATGGCGCTTCAATTACTCTTAAATTTATAAATTTATATATTTATAATATTATATTGAAGGAACCTCAAATTACGAAAATTAAGAGTATGATTTAAATCAAATTCTACTTGAATTGACTATATCTTTAGACGGTTTGGCGTGTGGCGTTACCTTTAAGAGCCCTACTGCGAGCCCTTATGCCCCACATTGACGCGGGTCGGGGTCGTCGACGAAGGCAATGTGGCAATCTCGTAGATTGTGGCTGTTTCGGTTCAAACACTAATTAAATGAATGCAGAAACACCCTTCAACGCGCACTGGAGCGAGAAGAGCGGACGAAAGGTGCTCCCATGGTGGCGCGACTCAAATATGGATGCTTCAGCATCGCTTTCGAGTGTTATTTATGTGGCAAGACGACCTACTGGTTGCATTTAATTATTAACAATATATGTGTTAGTAAAGCTGCATGCATCGCATTGGTGTGCAAGCGAGTGTGATTTTCAGTTCAAATTCCCCAGCAAGCAAATATTCTTGAACAAAGAACATTTTCTTCCTTTAGATATTTACATATCCTTACCTTGGTCTAGATGAGTGATCATGCATTTTAAAGTATCATATCATCATAATTTAATTATATTACGATATTATATAATAGTATCTGATTAAAACGATTTACGAGCATGAAAAGCGATGAAATTTTTAAATGAATTTTATGAATGTGTGATATGATGTGGGAATATTCTGCATCCGGTCGTTTCCTTGTGGCTTATGACTCCGCATCTTGACTTGTCACCGTCGTCGACGACATCTCCGGCTCACTATTTGCGTTTACGTTTCAACTCGTAATTTGCACCCCTCTTCCGTGTGTGTACTTAGGAACTGCCATGCGAGTGCACAGCCGGAGACATCTTCTCCTTCGCCCCACTCGCTCGTATTTGAATTTTATTTACCCGCTCGTTTACGATGAAACGATCATTTGCAGCAAGAAAATAAACACTGCTTTTGACTCTATTCCAACGACAGTCGAGTCTACGCGACGGCGTGCTCGTTTGGTCTTGCACTCGATTTTCCTCAGTTTGCTTAGTTTTTTTTTTATTCTTTGACTCCTGCACATGTTCGCTCGAGCGCATCGCAGTTTTATATCCTCGTCGCACGGCTGCCAGCTTCCGTGGTAGTTTTGCATAGAGTTGACTTTTGGCTTCGTCCTATAGCATAAGAAGTTGGGAGCGTCTTTGGTAACTAGCTCTCGGTGTACGTACCTTACGTAACCTTGTTTGTTATTTGTTATTTGTACAGTGAGCGCACGTTGCGTGTATACATTCACTTTGGCGTAGAGTTGGCGAGCCTGAGAGCTTATCTTGAAGCGAGGGTAAACTTAAAACCCGAGTATGAAAAGAGATAGGCTCGTTGTAAATATAATTCCTTTATTGCAGAAGGCACTTATGTAATTTAAAATAGCATCTCGTCATTCGTGTTTCATTCTGCCGTGCCTGTGTGGGCTGGGGGGATGCGCCTTTGGACTTTTCGTCGGCGTCGCGACGCGCCGGTCGAACGCTGTAAACGTTTATGAGGCGTGGAAAAGCACAGTAATATGCCCTCCGAATAGCCCCGAAACTATAACTTTTTCCGAATAATTCCGTTTCCTTTTTATTATTACGTTTTTTTCCCGTGCCGGGCTCTCGTTTCTTGCTAACTATTTTTTGCTTTCTGCCATTCGACGCGCTTTAACTTTTCGTCTCCGCTGTTTTTTTTCCTCGTGGCTCTTCGCTTTTTATTTTCTCCCTTTTGCTTTAAAACTTGAAATAGCATGCGCCTGATGTCGAGCTCGTCTCGACTTCAAAAACGGATTATTGAAAGCAGACGGTCGTCGTGATAATAAAGTGAACCAGATCTATTTGTCATTTGGAAAAATTGTATTTGACAAACGAAATCTCGACGCGTGCTGGTTCTTTGTCGGCAGATAATTGGCTGGGAAATTAAAGTATAGTACGGCGTAAATGGCACGTTTGATGACTTCAGCGAAAAGGCTCCGTCATTTGTCCGGTCACAAT